TCTTCAGTCCTGTCCTCATTCAATTAAACAACATTACAAGATATGTTCAAAAACTTTGAAAATGGAATCAACAACATAGCAGCCTTTTTGTGCCAAGATACCCCAAAAGTGAATGACAAAACCAGTAAACTTTTCTAATCAGCATACCTTACGAATCATACAATGCTATATAGTATCAATGTATGAAAGTCAGGGTGTTGAAGGAAACGTGACACTAAGGGCACTGAATTCCTTCAAGTTTGGCTTACATTAGAATGTAATTTGGTTGAATGTTTTTGTTGTAGTTTTAGGATTACTTTATGTTTGGTGTAAAAGCTGTCCATTTGTAAGACTTAATGTGATATGAGGGATTCTTGTTCTAGGCACCAGACAAGTTTCCTTTAATTAAGAAAAAGTGAACATCAACTCATCTTTTGTAATGCTGTAAGCATATATGTTAGAAGTAAATTGAAATGAGCAAATGTTATGCTCTTTCACACCTTCTTTCTCCTATCTCTTAGTCTTACCAGAAAATTTACACAGGCTTTTGGTTTTACTGCATATTCATAAATTTCCCATGACTGGTATATTGCGCTAGTTGTCTTTTATCATATAAAAACACCAGAACGAGTTCACTTTCAATTTAGATTTTTCCTTATCAGGAAATTGAATGATTCAAGCAAAGAAAAGGACAGGCATAATTTCATCTCTGATGCATGAATGTCAGGCTAGAAAACTTCCATACATTGAAGATAAATGGCAAAGAAAAGGACAGGCATAATTTCATCTCTGATGCATGAATGTCAGGCTAGAAAACTTCCATACATTGAAGATAAATGGCAAAGAAAAGGACAGGCATAATTTCATCTCTGATGCATGATTGTCAGGCTAGAAAACTTCCATACATTGAAGAAAAGAAGCAATAGTTATTGGATTATATATGGTAATCACAAAAGGCTTTCTAAATTGCCAATAGAATTCTTGGATTGCTTCAACTTGTCCTTGGAAAAGAAGATATCCGTTTACAATTATATATTATATTTCTTCTCAAACACAACAAGTAAACAAACGTAGCCCTTCGTTTAACAACACTTTTTGATGTTTTATTTTTTGGTTTTTGTCTTTTTATTATTTTAAAAATATATAAAATATATAATTTCTGTACATTGAAACTAAAATACATTTTTCCAAATAGCCATCACACAGCACAATTCTTAGGTTGTTTCCACTTGTCCCAGTGGGCAAAGATATTTTCAATGTATCCTTTTCAATTTATCAATGAAGAGACATATTTTTCTTGATAAAGAATTTTTAATTGTCTATTTTTATTTAATTCATGATGTATTATATTAAAAATTATTGCATAAAATTTTCTCTGGGTTTCAATTAAAAAAAAAACATTATTTTTCCTGGAAGCAGTCTTGTTTTGTATAAAAGGATGAAAACTGAAAAGCATTACACACAGCCAATATTGGAATTACCTAAGAATCAGCTGCTTCCCTTCAATCTCCATGGAGCTTCAATTTCCCTCTTTTATGAACTTGTTCATCTTCTTTCTCTTCTTTTCCATGGTAGTGAAAGTAATGAATAGATGGAAAACCAAAAACAGAAAGCTTCCACCAGGGCCATGGAGACTACCTTTAATAGGTAACGTGCACCAGCTGGTTGGTTCATTGCCCCACCACATCCTCAGAGACTTAGCCAAGAAACATGGACCTCTGATGCACCTCCAGCTTGGAGAAATTTCAAGCATTGTGGTTTCTTCCCCAGAAATTGCTCGAGAGGTCTTGATAACAAATGGTATTATCTTTGCACAAAGGCCCCATATGATTGTTCTCAACACCATTACTTATAATTCCAGGGATCTTGCCTTTGCCCCGTATGGAAGTTACTGGAGACATTTGAGAAAAATCTGTACGGTAGAACTCTTGACCACAAAAAGAGTCCAGTCGTTCCGATCAATAAGAGAGGAAGAGGTGTCAGCTCTTGTCAAAGCCATAGCTTTAAACGACAGATCCCCAATCAATCTTAGTGAGAAAATCTTTTCCCTGACATATGGGATAACATCCAGGGCAGCTTTTGGTAGTAAATGCAAAGATCAGGATGCATACATATCGATAGTAAAGGCAATTGTCGAGATGTCAACTGGCTTCAGCTTAGCAGAAATGTATCCATCAATGAAAGTGCTTCAAGTGTTTAGTGGAACGAAGCGCAAACTTGAGAACCTTTTTCAGGAGAGTGATAGGATCCTTACTGGCATCCTTGATGAGCACAGAGAGGAAATAAAGGTAGAAAAAGGACAAGCACGTGAGGACCTGGTTACTTCTCTTTTAAAGCTTCAGGAGAATGGAGGCCTTGAGTTTCCCCTTACTGACACTGACATCAAAGCAGTTATCTTGGTTAGTTGGCTTATTTCTCATATATCTTATTCATATAGCCATATATTTAGTAAGAAATTGAAGAAGAATTTTACCTGGAAAAATTGTAAAGAAGATCTACATGTAAACACAACATATATAATAGTAGCTAGTTGGCAGAATCATTATCCTATACTAACTTTTGGTATTTTATGATTCAGGATATCTTCAACGCTGGAAGTGAGACATCATCAACAATTGTGGACTGGGCAATGGCAGAAATGATAAAAAATCCAAAGGTGCTGGAAAAGGCACAGAAGGAGGTAAGAAGAGTCTTTGACAAACAAGGAGATGTGGATGAAGCAGGCATTCATGAATTAAGATACTTAACAACAGTAATCAAAGAAACACTCAGGCTGCACCCTTCTTTGCCTCTATTGTTTCCAAGAATAAGTAGGGAAAAATGTGAAATCAAGGGATACCAAATACCTGAAAAGACACAAGTCATTATTAGTGCATGGGCGATAGCAAGAGATCCTGAGTATTGGAGTGAAGCCGAAAGATTTGTTCCCGAGAAGTTCCTTGATAGTTCATTGGATTTCCGAGGAACAGATTTAGAGTTTATCCCATTTGGAGCAGGAAGGAGGGCATGTCCAGGAATATCATTTGCACTTCCCAACATTGAGCTGCCTCTTGCAAAACTTCTCTATCATTTTGATTGGAAACTGCCAAATGGAATGAAAGGAGAAGATCTAGACATGAGTGAGGCATTCGGTTTAACGGTTAGAAGGAAAGATGACCTTATCTTAGTTCCCACTACTTACTAGCCTTTATGTATGTCAGGTCTCAAGTTGTGTGTATGCGTCAGTGTCTAAGAAGTTAAAAGTTAGAAGTCGGATGTTTTTGTTGTATTAATAAAATGCATTTGAAGCAATAGAGAGATTGCTTTAGATTGTATTAGATTGTAAAATATAAAGTATCAAATAAAAAAAAGACACCTATCAAATAATTAGTGTTATGCAATTTAGTGTATCTTGTACCACACAACATTTATCTCTATAAAGATTTATGTATTTGAAGAATAAATGCTGGTATTTATCAAATTCCAATGTATAGTTTCTAAGGCTAACGATCTTAACTAAGAAATTGCACAATAAACGTTATAGTCTTAATCATTTTGAAAAAGATAAAAAGAATGCATGTTGACAGAAAATAATTTGAGACAAGAAATATACACTAAAATGCAAGGTATAGGCTAGATTTTGATTTATTAGGATGTAATGTAATCGAAGTATACTTGGAAGTTTTACTCCCCTCATAAAATATATTCAGTGGTTCTAATTAATCCTACTTACTAATCCACCCTGATGAATCCTTGTGACGTGGGTATGTGATTTGGAATAAATTTTAAAAAGGACACTGATAGGTGCACACCGGATCTCACATCCGGGTGTGCACCCCCCACATAACAAAAAAAAAATTGGATCGGGTGATGGACATTTTTTTTTTTGGTTTATATGGTGTGTGCACACCTGGATGTGGGATCCGGGTGTGCACACATCATTATCCTTTTAAAAATAGATCATATCCTTAATGAAATTTTTTTTTAAAATTCAAAAAAAGATTTCTATTGTAAAAAAAATAAAATTATAAAATTTCTGTTTTTATTTGTACAAAATTTTCTTAATTAGATTCTATTTCATTAAATAATTACCTTAAGGAAAAGGCAACCAAGAATTTCATAAATTTCTTGCACCGTCCTAACAAGCCACTATAGCCCCACAGGCCTGCGCCATGCCACAATCTGCAGTCTGTAGCCACCACGCATTAACTGCAAAGCTCTGTTTTTTTTTTTTAAGGCTTTGATTGGTCAAAGGAAAAGAAAGATGCAGAATTGCAATTACAATTCAGACATTAAGGGAAGAATTGATAGAGAAAAAAAGGGGAAGACGCTTCACAGAAGAAGAAATTAAGAGACCAAGATGAAGAAGCTTAACAACATTAATTTAGAATATTGCCTCTTTTTGGAATGAGAATCCACCAAGTTTGGACGCGAAGAGGGCAAATCAAGTAATCAACCACTCACTACTAGAAAACAGCATATAATCGACAAAAATATAATCGACAGTCAAAAAACTGTCGATTTTACTTGTATAATCGACAAAAACTCTGACGATTATAATAAAGTGTCGATTATATAGATATAATCGACAGCTATTGTGGCTGTCGAATATACTGGCTATAATCGACAGCCATTTCTGTCGATTATAGCAGTATAATCGACAGCCACAATG